GACTTCCACATGAGATAAATGTATGAGAGGACAGGATAATGTGAAGACTCTCAATGGAGAATCGGTTCAACACTGCAGCTGGAATTGCTTGCCAATTTAGCGCTGAACAGGGTATGGATTTGTCTCGGCACATTTAAGAGAAGTCGGGCTGAAAGCGCATTCTGCAGTTACGAAGCCTCTCATCAGCAGAAAGAATCAAAAGGCTAGACTAACCTTTGCTTAGGAGCATGTTGTGTGGACAGAGGAGAACTGGTCCAAAGTTCAAACTGGGAAAGACTAAAGCCAAAATGCGTAAAAAAAAATCAGTGAAAGGTTGAGGAGGAAGTGTCATGGTTTGAGGGAGTTGGATTTCTTATACAGACACATGGGAGGGTCAATGCAGATGTTTATCAGAACCTCCTTCAGAGACATGCAGTACCTTCCCTGGAAGCATCTGCCAATCAGCCTGTAATTTTCCTGCAAGACAATGCCCCCGTCACACTGCAAAACAGATAAAGCAGTTCCTTGAACATTGAAATAATGAAATGGTCGGCCCAGAGTCCTGATGTAAACCCAACTGAAAATCTCTGGAAAATCCTTGGCAACAAAATTATGACTAAGAAACCCATTAGAGTTACCAACTATGGAAGAGACCATGATCACACCAGCGCAGTGTGAGAAACTAGTGATGAAGATTAACAATTGTAAGGTCCGCCCAATGAAGGTATCCAATGGTGGCTGAAGATTTTCTGTGTGTTCGGCCTTTTTCGTGCGCAGAGTAATTGAATTTCAATTAAATTTTAATCGGACTCCATTTTATTATGACCTCGAATTTAGGTTGTCATATGAATTGGTTGTTTGTCCATTTCTGATTATTGTTATTCTGACACTTGATTATTCTAGTTAACCCTTTACTTTATATTTTACTCGTTCATTAGGAATCTAACATTTCCAAATACTGTTTGGGACCACGTTCTTGTGTAAATAAGGGATAAATATGCTATTGTTCTGTAGTTTTAAAGTTTTATTGGTCCTTTCTGTCCATAAGCTAAAAGACCGAAAGCAAACAAACCCTACTTAAAAGTTTTCTCTGTTCTACCACCCTGATTGTCAGAATCAAATCTACATCCCTTACTGTCGATATTGTGTGATGTTTTAATTGTTCTTCATCAGCAGTATTAAACTGAATAAACAAATGTTATTGTTCATTATGGGAATGAAATCATAACTCCTCCACTCTTTGTTTTTCTTTTTTTTTTAACACCTGCTTTAATTAAGCTGTTTTTGGATCTGACAGATGTATTGCTCAAAACTTTTCTTACTGTGGAAAAACAGCTTTAATAGAGAATGTTTCCAATTTGTTTCACTTTCCTGATGCTGATTCACTTGCAGAACCATGACAGACATTGTGATTTTTTCTCCCTACATTCTCTCCTTTCCTTTCCACGCCTCTGCCTAGTTTAAGTTCGATATTTTCTATTAAACTAACAATTCTTTCCATGTGTGTATGTGTGTGTGTGTGTGTGTGTGTGTGTGTATGTGTGTATGTATGTGTGTGTGCATGTTATTCTCAACAGCTCGACTCAGAGGCTGCAGATATCCTCAATGACCTGCAAGGGAAGCTTAATTCTTTTCTGGATAACCTGAGTGGCATGTTTGCCAAGAGGTAAACTTAATTTTCTGATCCTGAATCTCATCTGAATATCATTATTGCAATGTTTCTGAGTGTTCTGCTTATAAATGTCAGAAAATCACTATTCTTTATTTTTGTTTTGGTTTTTGTTTGGTTCAGTTTTTTTAAATTTAATTCTAAAAACATTTTATTTGATTATACATTTTATTTTGAAGCATTTTGAATGCATCTATAAACAAATATAAATGAATACAATATAAACATGATTTTTAAAAGGCGCTACAGAAAAAAATCTATTTTGGAAATAGTGCCGTTATCATTGTCATTTTGTTTGTTGGCGTAATTTTGAATCTGTGAATTCTGCAATTTTTTTGCTCATACCATTCCTATCTCCCTCTCGCTCTTTCCATATGTATATAGTTTCCAGGCCCGTATGAATGCATGTGTGCGTCAGATGGCGGAGATCCTGTATCAGATTAAAGGACCTCTGAATCAGAATACTCGTAACACAGCAGAAGCTGATGCAGACAACGCACTGCGGCCGCTCATGGAGTTTCTCGACACAAAGTCAGTTCAGCTCAACTTTCTTTAGTTGCTTTTAGACCAGTTCAGTTTCAGATCACTTGTCAATTTTGCCACACTAAGGGTCTCCATGTGTGCCTATTTCTGTTTCTTGGCACACTTGGTATTCTATAAAAGAGCAGAACAAAGTGAAATGATAGCCTGTCATCAGCTGAATTGTACTGTATCTCACAAATTGCCCAGGGAAATTCCCCAGACTGCCAAATGTAATATGTACATACACATGTCTGTTTGCGATGTGTGTTGCAGCCTCAGCATCTTTGCAGACATATGTGACAAGACTGTGTTGAAGCGTGTGCTAAAGGACCTCTGGAGGAATGTTCTGATTTGCATGGAGAAAACAATTGTGTTACCTCAGAGCAGCAACAGTATAGTAAGTTATTTTACAGGAAACATAAACATAATGTTCAACGTTAGACACCTAAAAACTCATTTCATGACACAAACAGTACTATGATTCTCTGTCCCTGCTCTCAGAGCACAATATATACTGTTTTACATTGTCATTATCAATGTTTTTATTATTGCTATTTCAATTGTCAGTGTTAGTATACTATCTAGGGATATCAAAGACTACAGTACTCAATCGCTCAGAAGCGACGGTGATGATCAATCATGAAAACACAATAATTGAATAACTTTTCCTCAATTTCCTGACTTTTCCTTGTTTTTTTTTCAGTTTTTATTTTAAATTTGTTTTATTGTAGCATTTTGCAGTCGCAAAAAAAGAGATTGTGACAAAAGTGACGTGTGAAAGTGGTGATTGATCATGAACAATGGAAACAATAATTCCATAACTTTTCCTTAAAATCAAAACATGCCAAAAAAGAGCCTTTATTTTATTTGATCATGTTTTTGTTCTAAATTTATTTTATTTAGTTTTTTTAAATGAGCCTCATCTTAAATTTTTTTGACAATCATTTTCTAACTGGTGGTCACTTGTGGTCTGATTTGTCATGACTGCAATTTCCGCAGTGTTTTAAAGTTAAAACGATTTTTAATTTGAGATGGCATCTGCGCTGCTTATGGCAAGTTGTTGAAATAAGGAGAAAAATGTCTTGTACTAGAGTAGGCAACATGACCATAATGGCATTTCTGAAGTTAACACGCTTTTGACATTTAGACGGTTAATAATATAATTTTTTTTTTTCAATTTATAATACTGGCAGGCAGAGGTTTGAAATATTGTTTTTCATTTTTTTTAGGGAGCTCAACTTCTTACTGCTGCTAAGGAACTGTCTAAACTAAAGGTATTAACTATAATTACTTGAAACATATTATCTGTAGCCTAAGGCAGTGGGTGTGGCTAATGCGTCCCTCATTACAGGGAGGGGTGGAGCCAAAAAGCTTGTCACTAAGGCAATGTGTGATCGTGGAGACAGCACTGGATTCAATCAAGGTGTGTTGGTGGATATGGCATGCCTGCTGAGTTACAACACGTTAAATTGTCGGCTGTCTGCTTAAAAACAGAACTGTCACACCAAGTCAACACATTGCACACTGAGTGTTTGGGTTCTTGGGATCGGTGCGTCATTAAAGTGTGTGGGAAGGAGAGAGAATCTGAAACAGTCTTGAGAAAGCTGCTCACCACAATCATGCCTTTTCACACGTAATAACATTGTCAGACAAAATAAGTTACTGTGAACTGTAGTACCTTTTGCAGAAGGAAATTCAGCCTAATTTTCTCTCTCTCTTTAACCTGCAACTGGATAGCTCTTCTTCCATGCTGGTGGGAACGGTTTAAAAAAAGCGTACCTGGAGAAGAGCCCTGAGCTATCAACGCTGCGTTATGCTCTCTCCCTATACACACAGACCACAGATGCTCTTATCAAGGCGTTTGTAACAACACAACATGCTCAGGGTGAGATACATACACTTGCACACATGTTCAAGTGCTGACTTTTATCAACCCTTGCACATGGCCACACAATCTCTGTATAAATTATTTGACATTTGCATGACTCATGTATTTTTAAAATTAAATTTCTTCTTGCAGTTCAAAATGGTATGGGCATCAGGATCACCCCCAAGGAGAACGTTCGACCTGACAGAGGTGGGCCGAAGATTCGTTCATCCTTGACTCTTTGAAGGGCTAGGAATAGTCTCTCTCTCTCTCTCTCTCTATAGTGAATTATATTGTAGAATTAAGGAAATGAAGGGGAAAACAGAATAAATAAATAAAATAATGTAAAAAATAATTTAATAATATATTTTAATAATAAATTGAATAAAAATATGTTTATATACACAATGCATATGTCAGTAAGATTTTGTGTTTTTGTGAGCGTAGTGCCTTATGTTATAAAGGCTGCATTTATTTAATTTAAAAATACAGTAAAAGCAGTAATATTGTTTAATGTAGTGTAATTTATTCCTGCGATAGCAAAGCTGAATTTTAAGCAGCCATTACTTTTACCATCACATTTGCGGCTCAAGAAACATTTCTTCTTATTATAAGTGTTAAAAACGGTCGTGTCTTATTATTATAATTGTTGTTTTTTTTAAATCGGGATATATTTAAATTTTTTCACATTTAAAAAAAAAAGCAGCATTTGTTTAAAATAAATATTTTGTAACATTTTGAACAGCAGTGTGTGTGTGTATAGGAAAGTGTGGCACAAAATTATTTTTCAAAATTGACTCTCTAATGCCTTTGAAATTTTTAGCATTTTAGGAAAAAAGCATTTCTGTTCCAAGTTCCTCTGCACATTACATAATTATTTATTAAATATTTTGGGTAATATAATAACGCCTAAGCTACCACTGGCACATTTTATAAAATTTGATTAAAATCCATTCAATAGAATCCCAAAATTTTAACCACAATCAAAGCATAACGTGTAAAATAAAAATGCATATGTTTGACTGTAATATGTTGAAAATACAGTATTTGTAAAATGAAGTGGTTTGATTGACAGGCTCTGGGGTTGAGCGGCTGATTGGGGAGGCAGTGATTCAGCTGGATTTGTCGCCCCCAGCTGGAAACACTGAGCAGAAACTCAGTGTCAGAGGTGAGACTACAGCAAAGAAGAGCTAAATTTAGGACTTATATCTGTGCATTTAAGTGTCTGGTGAGATAATGATGATTTTATCAAGTCTTGATGCTGAAAAAAAACCCCGGTGTCTTTTTATGAACTCTTTATCTCTTTCTCTTCCAGTGATTGCGGTAAATGACATGAGATGGCAGACCTCCGGGATGTTTCGTCCATTTGTGGAGGTTAACCTGGTCGGCCCACAGCTCACAGAGAAGAAACGAAAATTCACAACCAAATCGAAAAACAACAGCTGGACTGCTAAGTACAACGAGGCCTTTCAATTGTGAGTAAAAATGCTCTCATCTATTAAATATGTGGTTTGAAACACGGACATTTTCTATAAGATAAATACTAGTACTTACTGGCAGTTAAACTTTTATTTAAAAATGTAAAAAAAAAACATATTACTGAGAATGGTCCACTCATTTGTGCATTTCCTCTCCTTTATTTTAATCTCAGTGTGTTGGGTAAAGGCGTGAGTCTGGACTGCTATGAGATTCAAATAACGGTAAAGGATTATTGTTTCGGTCGTGCGGATCGGGTGGTCGGGATCTCAGTACTGCAGCTGCGTGGCATAGCAGACCGGAAAAGCTGCGTGTGCTGGTGCCCCTTGGGCCCGCGTATCAACATTGATGAAACCGGGACCACTGCAATACAAATCCTCTCTCAACGCTCAACTGATGAGGTTGCCAAAGAGTTTGTCAAACTAAAATCTGAGACCAGGCCTGCTGAAGAAGGGAGGTGAAGATGAAACTCAAGGTTGACCTTATCATTAGGATTAAAGTGGACTGATTTAAACAGAAGAAATGTATAATACGAGACAAAGGAAAAGACTGACAGACAAACAAGCGTTCACAAACCAATCACACAAGGCCCTACACTGTTTATAAAATTGTGTATGTTTATTCAAAGCCTTAAGAGTCACTTAACTGTTTTACTGGATTTGCATCACTCCTCTTGAAGGGGAGTGCTAGCATTGAGAATAGTGTTCCCACGGTCATGGAAAATCTGGAAATATCAAGGAAAAGTTATGGAAATTAATTAAGTCTTAAAAAGTCATTACTAAAATATTTAATTGGCTAGTAATCTCTGCATTTGTGTTTTAAAAAAAAAAAAACAATCTGTAAAGTAGACTACCACATGTGCATGTATTTCTTGTAAATTCCAGCTTTTGGTCATACGTTTTATTTATGTTTTGTCAATATGTGGAAAGCTATTTATGTGTTTTAAACTGTGGAAGAGTTCACAGACTGAATCCATATTCTGAATTTATTTATAAATTATTTATGAATTAATGTGTGATTCTGATCTTTCTTTCTGAAAACCGTTATTGTGCTGCTAATAAGCACTTGTGTGTGTTTGGATGCATAGATCCGTGGTTGTAAAACCTACTCTCGCTCTTTCTAACTTTCTATATGACTGTCGTTCTTCCTCCTAAATCATTTCCTCTCTTCTTTCGTCTTCAGTATTTAACAGCAGAAGCATGTCATTTGTAGTGTTCCTTCTCTCTTTAGAAGTTCCTCTAGAGGAATCCCATCCAGATATGGCAGGTCCAGCCTTGTTCAAAACCACCAGGCCATTTCACTCTCTTGACCTTTGCCTTTAATGAGGTGACATGTTTTAAAAATCAAGGAAAGAGAGGTAAGACTCATTTCTGTATAATGCAGATCACTTATTTGCATTTAATGTTGGTGCATTTTGATGTGGGATATGTATATTTAAAAGGTGGTGATTGGCATTGATTTTGTGGCATATACTTTTTTACCTCTAAATTAAAGCTAGTTTGATGGCTTCACATTCAGATTCTCTCACTTCTGCATTTTGGGGCAGTTTAGGGTCATTGGTCCATACCATTTTTTTTAATGCCAAGTATGGATAAACATGTGTGTGCACTAGTATGTGCATGAGTGTTTAATAGTATGATTAACCTGATTTCTTGGATTTTTCTTTTTTTAATGGGTTCATAATAAGGTTACCTATAATCATTTCATCTTATAAAATGCATGCATTTTTGTTACCTGACAAGTGCTGTATCAGGACTATTTCAGTGATGATTAACTAACAGGATGAAAATAAGTCATGCCTGTGATAGCTTTCTCTCTAAATCTATGCTTGGATTCTTAGTTATAGTTTGGGAACAAATTTATATATATATGTATATACTGTATTTAATAAAAAATATTTTATTTTTATCTAAGGACTCAGTTGAGTGTCTGTAGCAACTCATTATAATTTGCTTTAAATAAAAATGGAAGTTCTTGTTTATGGTTAAGTACATGTGTATTTTGTGTGTATTTAGTTTGTGTGTGGCCTTGTGGTCATAGTGAACATGCTCAGTACTGCTGTACTTTGTCAGTGGTTAGAGGAATGGGGGGGGAAAAGTTTGCTTCCTTTTTTGGTGTGCAGGAAATCGATACTTTTTTAGCAAGTAAGTGGGTGAGAGAGAGAGACTGAGAGATGTGTAGAGATCTTAACAAAAGTTTTACAGTCTGAGTTTATTATACAGGAGGACCAAGAGTAAGTGTAACCTTAGATAAATTGTCACAAGAGTGGAACAAGAATGAGTAACACAAGAGAGCACTGCAAGTTGCCACCCCTCTTCCTTGTTTATCTTGAGTGTGTGTGTGTGTGTGTGTGTGTGTGTGTGAATGAGTCTAGGCTGGATGTCTGCTCTCCCTGTTTCCCATCAACGTAAAGTGAGAGCAGATGGAAGACTGAGAAGCGAGAGAAAGGAGGAGGAGAAAGAGAAAATAAGAGGGCAAGACAAAGAGGAGGAGACTCTTTAGCTGACTTTGGCGAGAGAAAGAAGTCCCACACTAGACCTACACGCACTACGATGTCACCGTAGGACACTTATGGTAAGAATCCAGAGGATAAAAAGGTTAGGGGTGCAGTGAGAGGTCAAGGTCAGTAGAGGGGGATTCGACAGACAGTCCTAGAAACGGGAAGTAAAATAGTGGGTGTGTGTGTGAAAGAGTTGCTCGTTTTTTTCTTTTTCTTTTTCTGTCAGCAGTTTTGAAAAGAGGGTGGGAAGAGTGAGAGGTTCACGTAATACACAGCTTGAGGGTGAGTTTTGGTAATCATTGCCTTCTGTACAAGAACATTAAGTGTCAAAAATAGACTAAGAAAGTTGAAGTGTTTTGATATTTGCATTCTGTTGGACTGTACATCTTTCAAACCAGTCAGCTGTCTGAGAAATATACGCACACAGGGTTTAACTCTTGTGAAGTTACTTTAACACCAGGTGAGAACGGATTTAAACCACCGAGTATAACTCTACATAGTCAGGCTGTAAAACCCTTTTGGCTCGAACTGGAACCTGTAGAATCATCCTTGTATGTTTTTGGTGAATATTTAGTACTGTTGATTACATACCTCTAAAAAAAAAAAATCAAGCGAGAAAACTCAAATGTTTGTCTTGTACTGGAAAATATTCTCAAGACTTGTTTAGTACATTCTGAAGTCTGGTTCTCTTCAGGTTCAGGAGTTTGTCATGGGCTGTGTAATGTGTATGATGGCTTTGTGTATATCTGTGACTGTAGCATGACCCTGAGTTCCTCCGGTGGCCCATATAACTCATTGTCAAATACAGCAGATAAATAATGCAGTGACAACACACAGCAGTCTCTATCTGATCAGAAATTATTATCTCTCTGACAGGCTGTTATTGTTAATGGATAAATAATTAAAAGGTCATTAGAAATGACATGCATTTATCTGGTAAAATGAGAGTCCTCTCCTCCTTTTGCTATACCTGAGTGCCGTTGTAAGGATTGGCTAGATTCTTCATCAGCTCTTGTCTTATAGATTTTCTATTTAGTTGTGATTTATCGCTTTAATGCCTTTACTAGAAATGTTTTCTTTATTAGTATTATTATTTATTTTATCTTATTTTATTTTTTTATGAAAATATGTACATTGGTATGGTGTTCAAACACAAGCAAGTTCAATTAAGGCTAGTTGAAATATATAAAAAAAAACACAAACTATGTATCATTATGAATAAGTGTAACACAAGAAGAAAAGGAAGGTTAGTTTAGTTGTTCAGTGTTTTAACCCCAGGGGATTTCAGTAAAAACAGATAAAACAGAAGTAACTGAGTTCCTCAAATTCTGTTGTATTGTGATAACAGTGAAGCTGCTAGCAAGGGTAACAAAACGTGAGGAATAAACTACTGTTAAAATAACACTAACAATAGAAGGAGGACAGCAGCATGTCACAACCAGTATGACATCGTATTATTAGTTACACTTGGTTTGACAAGCATCACTATCACTATTACTGTTTCTCATAGTTTGAGTTTGAGGTTATGACTAACAGCTCTAAGCATTAAACATTTGCCTCGCACCATTTGAGGTGACTCAAACCATGCAGCCTGTAAAGAATAGCTAGACATCTGTGGTGATAAAAGTATGGCGGATGGTAGAAAGAAAAAAAATCCCATAGACCTGCATTGAAGGAAGGACCTGAACTGTACAGTACATAGATACCAGTGGCCAGTTGCATAAACTGCATGTCTTACAAGTTTAATTTAGTTTATCTAATTTGTTTCTTTAAGACTGGTCATAACGTAGATTGGCCTAATTTGAATCTGAAAAGTAAGACCAATTACCCCTTGGCTAACTGCTAGTTGGTCAGACTAGTTCTTAAAGGGGTGGATCAGTGTTTTTTTTCTAGGCTTGATTGTGTTTATGGGGTGCAGTCTAACATGTGTTAATGCTTCGTTTTTTTAAAAATGCATTATTTTTCACATAATTTACATTTATTCCACACCGCTCTGTCCCTTTTCTGAGAAACGCGCTGATCAATTTCCTGCTTTTATGAAGCCCCTCCCTCAGAAATAGGCAATGGGCTCTGATTGGTTAGCTAGCCCAGTGTGTTGTGATTGGCTAAACCACCTCTAGTGCGTGTCTAAACGTCCTGCCCCTCTCCTCAGCGGCATGTGCTCCGGTTGTATTGTAAACAAAGGCGCTGTTAATATCGCTTATCAGTTTGAGCCCGATTGAGAAGCAGAGGATATTATTGAAGAGGATCGTGCAGAACCTGTTTGTTGTCGTCTCATACTTTTAGATACGCTGTTATTTATAAATGCTACTGCTTATGTTAGCTTTTAATATATGGTTTTATCCTGGTTAAAGCTTTAATACAGTACGGCAATTGCACACACGTCCATGTTTAATGCTTCTCATAGCTATGTGAAAATAAGTGTATAATTGTA